CACCAACCAGAAATAACTCCATGGCTTCCTCGTCTCTCTCCTCTCCCTTTAAATTTGAAACTTTCTCTCTCTTGTTTTTTTGGAACCCTAGTTCTTTTACTGTGAATCGCTGCTTTCTCCCTCTTCCTAACTTTCCACCTTATTCCCCTTCTAGATCTACCATTTTTCCTCTTGAAACAATATGAGTTCCTCTGAAAAAAAACGATCCTAGCTTGTTTTGCTTTGAGAATATCCCCCCTGAAACACCCAAGGATGACCTCCCTCCAGGTGCGACTCGATACATCTATGAGAGGGGTTCTGGGAAGATCAAACCCTTGCGCCATGCTAGGATGAGGCCGCTCTTCTTTAGGGTTTGTCGTGGCGCAAAACTTGATGTACCTTCTAATGAAGAGAGTGAGGTCCAGTCTGAATTGGCCGGAAAAAACCCAAAAAACCCTATTGAGGTGACAGATCTGGAAGGGGAAATTGAAGGCGAGGGATCTGTGAAGGGGGAAGCTACTAGGTCTTCCAAAGGGGAGGTGAAGGAGTCCCGTTCTAAGGCGGTGGTGGAAGGCGGTGAGTCTGTGTCTATCAAACAACAGAAGAAAGGGTCTCTCTCAGGGATGAAAAGGGTCAGATCTGGGCTGCCTGTTGATCCGGAGCTTCTCTGTGATGAGGATTACATGGATTTCCTGAGGGATATGCACCCTGAGTGTTTCTCTGATAATTAACCCTGCAGCGTATAACCTTTCTTCTCCTCAATTCATGTTTATTGTGTTCTTCATTTGTTTTATTGTTGCTGCTTTACTTGATTTTTGAGTCCTTGTTTCATCGTTGTGTGAATATGTCTTCTGGTAATTCTGTTTTAGTTGGTTTATCATTTTCTATGTTATGGTATTTGGTTTGCTAGTACTCTCTGTCTTGGTTGTTCTGTGATGCCTTGAATGCTGGTTTGATAATGGGCAGGGGATTGTAATGTTGATGAGTGATGAAGCCTTTTTTTTATATTGTTGGTGAAACTGTGTTCTTTGTGAATTTATGCTATTAAGAGTCCCACTCTTATGCACAATGACTGGCTTTTGGGATAACAATCTATGTTTCTCTGTGTTTGAGCAACCCCCCTTTATGAGTGATGGTGTTTTGAGTACCCACTTCATTTAATTTCCATGCTATTCTATTGTGTTATGAAGTTTTGGTGTGAAGAGTCCCAACCTATGTATGTGTTGTGTGTGTCCCAACCTAGGTTTTGTGTGACTAAGCCTTAGTTGATTGAGCCATGTGATGAAGGGACTCATTTGAATAACAGTTGCTAGTGGTAGCATTGCTCCATCAATGGCCTTATGGCCCTGGTGTTGAGGTAACAACCCTAGCTGAACTGATTGATTTACACATACCCTTGCTGATGGTAATTCAATCTTTGTTTTGTTCAATTCATGCATTCATATCATAGTAACCAACAGCTTACCAATTACACCCCATTTATCAAAATAACAATACCCTTACTTTACATGATTGCCTTACATGTGTTGTATTTGGTTGATCAAAATACACATAACCTAAGCATTACCTACAAATACTAGTAACATTTAAATAACAAACACTAATTCTTACCTAGGTCAGCAAAATACTATTAAGGTTATGTGTGGCAATCATACATACTTGTAAGGGTGTTCGCATTTCTCTGTCTTCAGTCAGCATCAACTTCCATTTATTGGTCTTCTTCTGCTGCATTTGTTGTTGGGATGAACATGGTGTCTAGATAATTGACAGCTTTATATATCAACTGCCTAGGAACATGTAGATATTTAGGAAGTACACCTAACTTGTGAAGCTTCTTCTTCATATGAGGTGGTGAGAAGTTGTTTTCTCCCTGCTTTTCCAGGACCTTTAACATGACTGACTGTAATGTTAGCCATATGTACTTGTTGGCCTTAGCCTCAAAAGCATTGTATGCATTGGTCGCCTCTTTGATTAAGTCATCCAAAGTTGTGGGGAAGGATTGATATTTTAGGGACTGAATGACTTTGAACAACCCTAGGTCTAAGACACTCAAGTCAGGAGATTGAGCTGGTCGATACACCATTTCTATATTAAAACCATTAGCATGACAAGCAGCAATAAATTCTTCATCTTTAGGGATTTGATGAGGCCTTGCATTGTCCCATTGTATTTTGACATTTTTGGGAACAGTCTCTGGCCATTGATGGTGTATTGCTGGGATGATGTGCTCCATTAGCATTTCTCTGATAGCATCTTTGTTGACATTCTGTACAGCCTTTGTTTCCAATGTACTAGCTTCTCTGCTTTTGCTCTTTTTCTTTTCCATCTATTTTTTCACAAATGGAAATATACCAAACTTTCCATCATGTAGTAGAGTCCCATCTCTTGCATAAATTGGTTTGCCTATCATATCCATGAACATGGCCTTGATCTTAAACCTCTTTGACTGTTGACACCTGTAAGGATCTTCCTCTTTTGGAAGGAGGTAGAATTTTCTGGTTTCAGGGTTCAAGTAGAACCATTTTTCATCTATGTGAATTACTTCTTGCATGTCAACAAACTTTGGGTCCCCTTGAGTTGGAATTGGGTTTATGTGACTTAATACCCACTTCAACCTGCCACCTTATGATTCGATGTCAATGCAGGATGGTTTGTGTTTGTGTGTGTCCTTAGTCTTCCTTTCTTCCTTAATCTGTGAATTGTTGAATGTGAAGCATTCAGTGCACCTGCATAGCTTCTCTCTGTTGATCTTTTGTATAATGGGACAGATTGCAACCATTCATCAGAGTACTCTTTGGGTTTTGGACCAGTCCTTCCCAATTTTTTGGATCTGACATCAATGACATTCCCCTGGGCCATTTGCTTCTTAATGTCTGCATACAATCTTGACATTTTAGATCTATGAATGTTATGATGTCTTGCTTGTTGTGATAAAAAAAACCCCTAGGCAGATCACCTCCTTGCATTTTTAAGAGAATGACATCCACTATTTGCCTTTTCTGTTCAATGGTAAGGTCTCTCCTCTTCTCTCCTTGTTGGGTTGTCTACTGATTCTGTAAAATCTGAGAGTATGCCCATTTTGCAACGTACTCATCCTCTGAATTTGTACTGGACAATGATGAGTCACTTGATAAAACTTCTTGTTCTTCTCCTAGCAACTGTTCTAATGAAAATAAATCTTCCATATCCATATCCATATCCATATCCATTAACAGATACTACCTTGTTCTGATCCAGGTCTGGCGATGGTGATGAAGTGGAGGATGCAACTTTTTGGACAACTCAAACGGAACCTGGTTTTTGAAGATTTCAAAACAAAGTTGCTGCCCCTAATTTAGCACTAATTAGATGTTAGGATGTAGGCTGGGTGTATTTATGGTAGTTTTTGAACTTGTTTTAGTGCTAACTTTTGCTGATTTTAATGCTAAGATGTATTCATTAGGTGGTAGTTTAAAATGGTGGTGTAATGAACAAATATGAATTGTTGTTTATGCTAAATACTACTGCTATTTATACCCTCTCTTGCTTGGGAAAAAAGCAAGAGGAGGGAAATATTTGAAGGAGGAAAACAAAAATTTTTAAATTTGGTGAAAAATTGGGAGGGAAAAGTACACATTCCCAAATTCTGCCCATGTGATAGTAAAAAAAAAAAGGTGGTCCCTTTTTACTTCCCTCCTTTTTTAAACTTAATCACATGCTTTTAACTCATGATTTATTCCCTAAAATCTTTTGACTTGGGAAATGTGCAACCCCCCTTTGTTGCAAGAAATAAGAAACGGAGGGAGTGTTAGTTTTATATTGAAAATCTCAACATGAACTTGAATACTTGATCATTTATAAAATAATAAAACTCTAATTGACTCTCTTATATAAATGGGTAAAAAGACTCGCCCCAACCCACTTGGTTCATGTCTAAATCATATCATGTTATCATGTCAGATTAACTTTTGATGACTTTAGATATTGAAACTAGTGAGTCATGATTATTTAGACACGGCTTAATGTGTCGTACACATGGTAAACAATTACTCTGTACCTTGTAGGAGGCGTTCTAAACGGCTAACAATGATCAACTTATTTACGAAATTGCCATGCTATAAATCATCAAATCAATAGCTAAGATCCTTTTAGACTTCGTTTATACTCTTATTCCATCTACAAAGCTTTTTAAATCCATCTGAACAAAAAGCTATTACTGAAATCCATCTGAGCAAGATTTCTGGAATCTAGGCCATAATATGCATGTTTATTGCACTGTAACAACAAAGGCCTAGATAAAGTCATAATATTTTCCCATAAGTTAAAGCTCAATACATTTATACATGCAAAGTTGGATGTAGAACATCCACATACAGCTGATATGAGCACAAAGAATGATCTTACACCGGCTTCTTGTCTGCATATAAATCTGAGATGCTCATTTGATCGTCAAATCTTTCTGCTATAGTCGTATTCTTACTTGAGCTTGTTGCGAAGAGTGCAATAAACCTTTGGAAATCGATAAACCTTATAAATTTAGTAGTAGTTCAAGATTACACCTTACCATATCACCAAGACAAAGTTGACAGGCAAATCAACAAACTTATGAATGGTTAAAAGACGAGTATACATATATCATACATGTGACCATGTCGAAACAGGGAGAGGTGGAGAGGGGTGGATGAACACCTTCTTCCCTCTCCCTTTACATTCGATAAAAGATTGAAAAATCTTGCACAAATACACTTCCTTCTCAAGTTCTTATGGCCATGAAATTTTAGTCACTACAATACAAAGTTATCTTTAAATATAACAAGAAATACAGTTGCTTAAACTGTCCATATATTCACATTTTAGATATCAAACAAGGTGCAAAGTAGAGTCAGCTAGAAATGCAGTATTCTCCTTCTCTTTCACATACTGATGATTCTCAGGCACTGAATCTGCACATTTCCGCTCGGGGGGGGGGGGGGGGGGGTAGGGGATCACCAAGAAAGGCAGCAAACTATGAGCATGAATTTGTGCTATACTTAGAGACAACCTTGACAGATAACACTACTGCAGGCAAGAGACATCGATTGGTTAGAGCATTACGAGGTTTTTTTACAGGACTCAGACCGTGACAATCTAAACACAGCATACATGGACTGCACCTTGTCAGTCAGACTTAAATAGCTGAGAGTAACTCTGCTACTTGTACTAAAAGTTACAGAGTACCAATCTGTAACACCTTTGTTAAGAGTAACATTCACCATAAGATTATAGACTCCACTATACCACCATATAAGCACTATTAATCTAGGAAAGTATGGGTGGCAGAGGCATAATGGTAGAGTCAACTCTGAATATGTCAACATTAATCACCATAGCTGCCTCATCTTTCTTGTCAATTGGTGTAAAGACCAACACATCAAACTCCGCCAAGAAATTCTCAAGAGCAAACTTTTTCCACCCTGGACCGAGCCCTTGACCTTTGTCATAGGGATAATAAGTAGTGAGCCATGTTTTCTCCCCCACATGGAGAACGACTTCTTGGTTATGGCGAAGGGAATGCTTGTGTAGCCACTCTACAGGAACATTCTGCAAAAGAGAATTCGTGGTACATCATGTTTTTTAATGTATTCGAAAGATAGTATTTGTAATAATAATCATTACCAAGAAAAATCTCTTGTAAACACAGCTAGGTCGCATTATTGCAATGAAACTATTTTCAGTCATGTTTTGATTCGCCCTTTGAAAAGCTGCTTGTTTCTCCATTCAGTAACTGGCCTTTTATTTGGGATGTAATCCTTGCAGGATGTTTTTCCAGCAGAAGCTGTTTTCAAGAGTAATGAGAAGGTTAAGCATAAACAACCAGATTTTTGAGACATATCAGCATCATTTATCACCAACACTCAATCGTAATCGAACTAAGGTATTTCAAGTAAAATATAATCTTATCCTCCGTCCTCATAGAGTGAAGATAGATACCAAGCAGACAACAATAGTTGTTTGATCCAGGCATCAACTACAGGAATAGAGGATTACCGCTTTAAAATACCAGCTCACCTGGGGAATTAGGAAGCGCCTGCTTCTTTGGTCTGCCTATTTTCCCATGAGATTTGTGACATTGATCATCTCCCTCCGGGGAACAATCTCTATAATCAGGTCTGATCACCACAGGCCTTGAAATCTGATTCAGTTCCTTGAAAGTTCCACTGCTTCCACTCGGACCCATTTCTTCCAAATCATTTATGCAACCAATAGTAACATGTCAATCCTCAATAAATTTACATATTTTATATAATATTATGGTATTTCAAGAAGACAGATTGCGTACCTGCTTTATCCTTGAATATATTAGAACAATCTACAACTGGAGTACATTCACCGTTTTCAAGGGTGGTCATCTCCTTCCTTAAAATCTGACTTAGTTCCTCAAGAGTGTCATTTCTACTAAGCCCCTTTTCTGCTAGAATCATGTACACAAAAATGCATGTTAACCATAAAAGGATAAACTAGTTCGTCGAAGACAATCTGCATGACAAAGCTACCATATAAGGCCTTCAATTTGTGAGAATGATCTATGACCCGGAAATTTTCTTCATTTTGAAAGGCGATATAGTCCCTCTTTGAAATCGGCCTAGATTCATATGCTGCATCATTTCCACTTGGTGATGGAGTTGGAGTTTTCACCTTTTCTCCTGAGCAAACCACCCCTTCATTATCTTTCTTTGATTTCTTTGATACAAGAAAGGCGGAATATTCTTCATCGTCATCCTCAATAACCTCAGTGCTCGAAGCCTTTCTTGTAGTTTTCTTTTCTATATCTCCAAGGTCAGACTTAGGATGCATACATTTATTAACAAAATAAGTTGACTCCCTCTCACAAGAACTCCCTTGGTCAAAGATTAAGACCTCAAAAGTCGAGTTGCTCTTGTATTTGAACATCAAGAGGTTGTTTTCCTTTAGACCATTAACTTTCACAAAATCTTTCCATTCATTCCCAACAAAGAGAACATTATCGGATTTCAGTAGCTCTATATCCCACAAAACACCACTTGGGCCTTTTAGAGGCACTTTATCTGGCAACTGATCTTTCATGTTTACAGCAAATTTCTGAGGTAGTACCTGTTTGATCACGATAACATTCAGCTAGCTATGAGGTAAATAATGTTCGAGCTCAAGATTTTCAAAGATAAACTTAGAACATTCTAAACCAGATTTAAATACATAAAACAATCACAGAAGATTCACAATGATCCTCAAGAACCTCAACTCCTAGTGTCACACATTTTTAAGGTCAAATGTGCTGCAGATTGTTCGTGGACGGATTTAGATTAATACACTTGAAAGATAGTAAGAGGCTCAATTACTTGAGTTTAAGACTTCGAAAAGTGAATTAGTAACAAATAACAACTAAAAGTTCCCCACACAAAGTAACAAAACATGTATATACACAAGTAACACAACAATACATCATTATTAATATCTTTTTATTAGTACAGTATATTCATAATTAAAATTTTCCCTAAGTATCAATCTCTAACCACAGAGATTTTTCATATAAAACAAATCTCATAATATCTCATCCTCACCATGAACAAAAACATTAAAATTCTTCTTTATTTCCAAATAAATAAATAAATAAATTTAAATTAGCCATTTTGACTATACTTTTTTTCCCTAAGTTGCTATTTTTTTTTTGTGTGTTTCACCCGATTCACCCTTTGGGTTAATCCGGATTCGGGGATAAATAATGGGTGGTTAGGTTCCAGTCCCCTCTCGATTGTTGTGAGGAATCAAACACGAGCCCTCCCTACCAACTGTAATCCCAATCACCACTACACCAACATCCAATATTCCAATTGGTCCTAAGTTGCTAAATTATAATTGCATGGATTCAGTTTTTATTTTATTTCATTTCCATATGTTTTTAATACCATTTAAAAGATGAATAAAATTAATTACTACAAAAACCACTTGCAAATAAACAGCATTAAAAATAATTAAATACTAAAATGAACTTACAGTGATGGAAGTTTGGGGGTAAGGTAAGATAGAAATGCATGGAGTTGAAATGTTTCCAATACATTTCCTTTTCCCATGTCCTGCATTTCTTACACCCTGAAATTTCCTCCATTTTTTTCAGAAGATCGAAACTTTGCAACAGAAAATGAGTTCCTAAACACTGAAAAGAAACAATCAGCTATGAAAACTAACACACAAAGGAAAAAGAGGGGAGAGAGAATTACCCAGTAGAAGTGTAGAATGTGTGATGACAGGTAAGAAAAACCCACTGAATTGTGCTAAATTGGGTTTAAAACCAAGGATGTGTATCATGCATTAATTAAGGTCATGAATTCATGATTGAACATCTTTCGGACAGGGAATGAGCATAAGACCATTATAAATTTATGATACAGCTACAAGGTGGCATATGGGTCGTTTGGTTCAATCGACTCTATTATTGTCATGTCATGGTCGGATGAAAATCGTTCAATTTAGCTTGGGTCCAGTAGATTTAGGTTGTAATACTTAAAAATTTATTGTTGAATGTCAAGTTAGCTTATCATGAAAATAGAGCAATTTGCCAATTTAGATATGCTTAATGTCGGGTTGTGACAATTTTGGTCAACTAATTTCAAATATGAATTACATCATGTGGGACGGGTTTATGTATTTATATTGTGGCGAGAAAAATACAAGTTAATCAATATGATAAACAAAATTATAAATAAATCAATAACTTTTATTTTGTTTATCAAATGGCAAAATTGTAAATAAATCAACAACTTTTATTGAATATGGTCCTACTGTTGTTGATATATTTACGAAAATGTCATGATGACTAGGCATTTATGTTAGGTATTTATGTTGTTTTATTTACCATTTTGCCATTTGATAAACAAATTTTGTTTATCAAATTGATTAATTGAGACTTTCTCGTGGCGAGGCCGAGAAATGGGGATTGTCATAGCACGGTGTAAGGTATAATGAGACTAGGCACACACACTTTGGAATATTAAAAGTATAAACTTGTATTTGAAATCAATTGCCACGTCACTGATTCAAATTAAAGTATTAGTGCAACTTTGTGAATAAGTGGCAGAGTGAGTATCAAATAACTAGGGGAAACAATTTCTCTTATGTGTAATACTCGAAATACAATCCTTGGACCTTAAGAAGGCTTAATTACCTTAAAGCACCATTGTTATTCGTATTTAAGAACAAATTTTGAAGGATTTGTCATGCATATAACAGGTTATTAAGATTGCAACTAAGAAATCTGACAGTTGATAATTTATACTACCATCTGTTCTTCTGATACATACACTAGGGAGTCTTAGAGTTACATTCACAAGAAATTGCGATTTTATTATATCAAAATACGCTCATGAGACAAGGCACACACTTTGTACTTTTGACCAAAAAAGAAAATAACTTAAACTAATATTAGCCTAAGAACTAATGGGGAGAGGAGGAATGGTGCTTGGGATCACTCTAAATATGTCAACATCTATCACAACAAGTGCCTCGTCTTTCTGGCCACCCAGCTGAAATACCAAAACATCAAACTCCTCCAAGAAATTCTCAAGCGAAAATTTCTTCCACCCAGTAGAAATCCCTCTATTTTTGCAGCCATAATTAACTATCGAAGCATGCCATGAATTCTCCCCTACACGAAGAATGACTTCTTGTTTGTGGCGAAATAGATTCTTGAACTGCCACTCAGCAGGAATTTGCTGCCAAAAAAAAAAAAAAAAAAAAGGATCTGTTAAACATATTTCTGACATATACTACAATGTGGAAAGATCAAGTTGCAAATAATCAGTACCAAGAAGAACCTCCTGTAAACACAAGTAGGTCGCATTATTGCAGTGAAACTATTTTCAGTCTGTTTTTGATTTGCCCTTCGCAAAGCATCATTTTTTTCTTCTTCAGTCACTGGCCTCCTATTTGATTTGTACTCCTTTGAGAAACTCTTTCCTGAAAAGATTTCCAAGCACGATAAGAAAATGTAGTTTGAACGCAAGCCAAATTTCAGAAAAACCAGTATCATCTACAATCTATTAAAACATCCATCAACTCATTCAAGAGTAATAAGATTTTATCAAGTACGGAGTACATAACATCAAACACAGCAAGGCCCTAACTTTATTCACCTCATTCATCCCTATGCAAGGGGGATTTTTTTTTTTTTTTTTTTTTTTTTTTTTTTATAAATAATCTGTTAGAACGCGACAATTTATAAGCTATAAGAAATGATAGAAATGTAAAAAAAACAATAATATATGATATAATGAGCAGCACATCAACCAAGCAAAATTTCCACAAGATGAGAGGATTACCTCTTTTGAGCCCTGATTTCTTTGAAGATGTAGGAACTTGCTTCTTTGGTTGCCCTCTTTTTCCACGAGATTTGCAAGGATGATCTTTCTCAGGGGAACTTTCTCTATAATCAGATGTGACCAACGGCCCCCACACTGAAATAGGAATGGCATCCTTGGCTATACTTCTTCCATTTGGCTCCTTTTCTGCCAATTCTTACATAAAAATATTAACACACAAACATCTTAGTGTTCCAGCTTGCAAGGAGACAAAAGGTTACCTGCTTGACCCTCGAAATCAGGAGAACAATCTGCAACTGGTGAACTCTCACTATTTTCAGGGGTGATAAGCTCCTCCTGTAAAGTCTGACTTCGATCCTTGGAAGTGTCATTTCTGTTAAGCCTATTTTCTGCCATATCATGTAAATTAAGTCATCAATTTAACCAACACGTAAATTAGCTTCTTGAAGAAAATCTGCTAAGCAATGCTGACCAGATGGTGCTTTCTCTGAGTAAAAATTGTCTGTGACCCGGAGACCATCTCCATTTTCCATGGTAAGCAAGTACTTCACTTTAGTCTGACTCGGATCAATTGCAGTAACATTTTTAAGCAGTGGATTTTCTGCCATATCATATTCATACAAGTGTAAGCAATTCAGATAACTACAGAATTTATGAGAGATAGCTTTTCATTTCAATAATTAGATACCAGATTGGGCCTTCAATATGTGAGAATGATCTGCAGCTAGAGAATTTTTTCCATTTTCAGGGGTAGTCAGGTCCTTTGCATTCTGAGTCAATTCATCGACACTGCCTTTTCCATTTGACTTCTTTCCTGCCAAATGAAGTACACAGAAATAAATAAACGTTTCCTATTAATAAATAACTCAGCTTCTAGTCTCAAGAAGATCATACTTACTAGACTTGGTCAGAACTTTTTGAGAATGATCTTTCTCAGGTAGAATTCCTCCATTTTCAGAGGTAATCCTGTCTTGGTTTGAAATCTGATTCGGTTCCTTGAGATTTTCATTTATGATTGACTTCCCTGACAAGTCATGAACAAGAAGTAACACAATAAATCGCCATACTTAGATGAAGCATGTTTTCATTTCAGACATTAAAGTATTAGAATGGTTACCAGATTTGATTTTTTTATCACTTGGCGGATTGAGGGGCGGTACTACCCTTCTTAATCTGCCTTTAGGTCTTGCAGCTGCACAAAGCACACGTTTTTTTGAAGTTGGAGCGTTCAACTTTTCTCTCAAGCGAACCACTTCTTCACCATCTTTCTTGGACTTCTTTGTAACAGCAAAAGCAGGACCTTCATCATCATTATCCTCAATCTTGTCGCTGGAAGCCTCACTAGCAGTCCTCTTTTTTTGGTCTTCGAGGTTAGACTCAATAAGCCTATGTTTCTTAACAAAATAGGCTGATTCCTTCTCACAAGAACTCCTTTCATCAAAGATTAAAACTTCAAAGCTTGAGCTCCGCTTGTAATTGAACACCAAGATGCAATTTTCATTCAGATCATTAACTTTCACAAAGTCTTTCCATCCATTTCCAACAAATAAAAGATCATCAGATTTCAGCAATTCTATCTCCCACAAAGCGCCACTTGGGCCTTTCAGAGACACTTTTGCTGGTAAAGCATTCATGTGTGCAGCAAATTTCTCAGGCAGTACCTATTCATAATTGTCATGATTAAACTAAGATCAATATGCAGTCAAAGACTCTCAAAAGAAACAAAATCTTAATATTTTCCAAGATAAACTTGTAACAACCAACAATTAGGCTACAATGTATACACAACAGTCAACCATACATCATACAATAAGTCATAAAAATTAGGCTAAATGTATAGACAACATCTAAACACATAAAATCCCTCTGACAAAACTTAGCACAACCATCCATAAGCGTCTCACAGTAATTTCTATTCAAGTAAATCACAACCGTGACACCCATTCGTAATTTCGATACTTCCATACGACGTAAGTAGCATCAAGTAATTCCTCGCTCAAGGGTTTTCATAATCTATGAGAGTACTTACAATTTCTAGCACATGAACAGGAAATTATAACAACAATTGGCACAGATTCCTTTTATGATCTAGATAATTTTAAAGATTCACATCAAATTATAATGTCATGACTAACTTTCTACTGTAAACACTTCTCTAATCTCGGAATTGGGGTAAATCAACAACACACATTGTATGAATGCACAATAACAAACACTTTGCAGCTTTTAAAGAGCATCAATCCCTCTATAACTGTTTGATTTAATCATCGCAATTGTAGTTCAAGTTACACTATCAACACGCCTATTAATCACAGAATGAGGAGCAGTAAAATCAAATTTTTTTTATTAGGGAAAAAAACTTGAAATCTTTAACAAGGGAATGGGGTGAATTTCCATAAAATAAAAAATTAAATTAAAAAATACCCAACAAATAAATAAATAAATAAATAAATAAATAAAATTGAAGAACTTACAAGATGATCATGGAAGTCTGAAGTTAAGGTCAGACAAAAATGTACAGAATTAAAATGTTTCCAATACATCTCTTCTTCCCATGTATTGCAACAATTACACTCTGGATTTTCCTCCATTTTTTCCCAGAAATTTCCCTTCCTATTTAATCAAAAATCAAACAATTAAAACAAAAATAGAAAGAAAAAAAAAATACACAACAAATGTGTAATCAACCCAAATCAAAGTGAAAAAAAAGGGAAAGAGTGAATTACCCACTAAAAAATATTAAAAACCCAGATGAAAATTGATGAAGGAAAGAAAACCCCACATAAAAATTGAAGGAATGAGGGTAAAATTGAGTTGGGAATGTGTGATTTTAGGAGAGTAGGGATTTGAGATCAATGGAAAACGTTACTTGATGATGTCCTTATTTTTAGCAGGTTACTGGTTTAATGGTTTTGTCTATTTGTGGTTGTAACAATGTATTCCGTAACATGCATTAAAGCCTTCAAGGTGGTGGGAATCGTCGAGTGGACTAGTGGAGTATCAAATATCAATGCCTGGTATTTGCATGGGTGAAAAAATAAAATAAAATACTAGAGACTAGTGACTAGAGACCGAGTGGCATCGCATGAGGTGTCAAAAACTAACCAAAACTGTATGATCTAATCGAGGGAGTTTCAATTCATTATTTTGATAAACAAATGTCGAAATGGTAAATAAGTAATAATAGATTTGCAATATAATATTTTCATAATTATATTAATAATTGTAAGCTCATATTTGATGAAACATTGATCGACTAAGGGCATATTTACATTTATTGAACTAAGCTGAATTGAACTGATTGAAACTGAACTGAACTGAACTGAATAGAGCTGAAATGAATATTTTATGAGAGAAGGAAATTAGGAGCTAAACTGAACTGAACTAAACTGATTAGAGCTGAACTGAACTGAAATTAAGCTGAAGTGAGCAGGCCCTAACCCCTACAAGGGCTACAACACTTACCTAGTAACTCCTAAATCACTAACGAAATAACCCCTCATGATGGATGGCCACACTGTGTGGCGAAACACATATTAATGAAATATTATTGACTTATTTACAATTTTACTATTTGATAAACAAGATGATAAACTTGTATTTTCTCAATTCAACCTAATTTAATTGTTAAGGGATCTAATATACAATAATATTATAACATTATATAAAAATAAATACAAGTATATTAATCGACGAATATGAAAGGTAAAAGGTAGACAATTTAGTCATGGTACCCAAACAATGTAGATTGTATGAGATTGATTGACAACATTTCTTTGTTGACATATAAACATTAATAATAATGCGTAAATATGGCTTTTGATTAACTTGGGTCAGGTTGTGGCTAAGCTTATGGGATTTAAGGTTGTCGGCGTAGCCTACCACCAATGGGTTGTCTAGAGCAGGTTCAAATTTTGTAAGGTAAGGTCTACTACCAATGGGCTGATCCAAGGGTCGATCCAAGGGTTGGCTCGCAAGCTTCTATAAATGGATCGGAAAAGTGGAAAAAAAAAAGAAGGAAAAAACGGTTTTTTTTAAGTGTCACGTGCTAGGCGCTTGAAAGTCAACGCTGGAGTCGGGCGTTGACTAGTCGGAATAGCACTTTGTCCCACTTCATAACCAAACACAGCTTATAAGGTCCCTTGTTTACAATATTTGTCTTAAATAAAGGTCCTTCCTCACAAAGCCGCCCTCTTAAAAGGTCTTTACTCTCAAATTTTCCATAAAAAAAATAATTCTAAAGTATAAAATTACATTACCACATACAATTAACAAACATAAATGCAGGTTAATTTACTAAAGGATCAAAACTGTAAGTTTTAATACACAATTAGGTCAAGAAATTCATACCCTCAAAGAGAGGGGAAGAGGGGTAATTAATTCAATTTTTTATTAAAATAAATAAATAAATAAAATAAAAAATAAAAACTTGAAATTTACAAGATGATGGTGGATATTTGGAGATGAACATAATTACTGTTACTGTACTTTATTGATAGATCTTGCATCAGCTAGACAGCTAGTACTATAATTAAATACATCTTCACTTGAATGAACAAGAAGCCAGACTATAAAAGATTTCCTGATCCCTTTAATCAAGATATCTGAGGCAAAGAAAAATAAAAAGAGCTTCCTCAAACCGCAGCAAGTTAAATGCAGTAGCAGAGCTAACAGAAGGTTAAACAACAATGATCTACAAAATAAAATGTTGCTCCATTTACGAGAGCTTCTACACCGAATTTCACTGCTATGATCATGTTTATTTCTATAAGAATAAGCTCCTAGGTTTGTGGTTATCAGCATTCACAGCATACATGGACATACCCTACATCTCATTTATATATATATTCTCAAGCTTGTATTGAAGATCAGTGGTGCACTCAATCACCACAAGGTTGCTTCTTGTAGTCTATAAACTAAGATTAAGCTTCTCAGCTGGATATACACTGCTTGTACTTCCACTTTTTTGACCCTTCTGCGATGGCTTAGTTTTACCCTGTATCACAAAGTGAATTGGTCGCTTCTTTGCTTCAGAGAGATTCTCACGCCTGTTCTTTCTGTAATGCATGGAAAATGAATTCAATGAGAGAACTTGGTATGCATAGCTTTAACGAAAAGTTACTCATTTGGATAGACTATTCCATACGTACCTGAGATGGAGCAAGAAAACAGCAATGCCTACTAGTGCAGTACCCTTGACAACTGACTTCAGCAATTTCCTTTGGGGCTTATGCACTGGTAGATCTTTTTCGGTATCTTCTTGCTTTACAAATCCAGACTCTCCCTATATGAAGCCAGACAAATGAAAGAACATATTAGATTCCTAAACCAGAAAATAGCTATTCAGGTCATGTGAAATCAGCCACCACCACCCACTATGAATTTTGTGATTGGCATGGTCTATGTAAAGATCTAGAACGTGCGTGCCCTTAATTCTAACCAGTCAAGACTTGGGCTTTAATATTTTCAAAAAATGAGTTTTAGCAGGTGTAAGTTTTAATAATTCAGACACGAGATCAACAAGTTTAAGCAAAGAGCAGCAAGTTCAAAAAGGTTCGTATAAAGACTTGTTAGGAGAAAAGAACCTAACAGATTACCAGAACTTCTGGAGAGAAATATACTACTAAAGCAACAGCAAAATAAATGGGGAATTCAATTAGTAAATCCTAATTTCGTAAATGCTTAGGAGCAATCTTGCTATAAATTACCCGTTCAGAGTTAAAAATAGAAGTAATTTCAAAAGCAAAGGGAAACAATTAAAAAAAAGGTAGGTAGTTTTTTTTTTTTTCTCCACGAAACAACAAAAGAAGCATAGATTTCACACCAAAGAGTTAAGAGGTCACATGCAAATAGATCATCAGCTGATTATGTAGTATTCACCTTTTCCGCCTCTTTCACACAGTGAAGATGCTTATGATTTGTATCTTCCACAATTTTAGGGGATTGAGCTTCTGACTGAGGATCACAAAGAGCTGAAGCAAAACTATTAACAAGATTTGCATTATCTGTGTTACTAAGTTTGTCATCAACACTTTCAACAAGAACATTATGACTCTCAGATCCCTTCATGGCATCATGACAATCGTTTAAGAATTTCGTGCCATTCTCAGCCACAACCATATAAGGTACAGAATTTAGATTCATGTGAGGCATATCCAACAAATTACTTTCATTGACATCCATAAAGTTGTTGCCAGAGTGATTTTCTGTATAATCAGGTGTGATCTTCTTGTCATCAAATGACATTCTGTCATTTTGTATCGGAGAACGATGAAGCTCTGTATAGATAATAGTGTCTCTTACAAGAAGCGATGGAGATATGCTGCTTGAAGCAATAAATCTTGCAGAATTCAACTGATCATCATTACCATTTGATTTAACAGCAAGCAAACTTGAGCAATTGCAACTGTGCCCATCACAATCAACAGAACAAGGAGAGTTCTCTTCATGAGACCTCAATTGACCTGCCACATCTTCTGAAGTAGCATTCCCATTAATTAACCTATTATAGCAGGAGTTTTCTCCAACATTTAAAACTTCTGTACATGTATTAGATGCTTGATTCTCACTATCATACAAAAAATCGGGATATTCTGAGGGTTTGGAAACAAAAGGGCCTTGTATTAGAGGCTCACTGGAAAGAACCTTGTCGTCAGTCTTCCCATGAAAACAGGGTTCACCAACATCAAGAACTATGTCACGGATAAATGGTTCATGTTTGACTGAGTTATTGTCTGATGGTACATCCGTATCACTCAAATATGGAGCCTCAACGACATGAAATTCATCTGTTACAGCACATTCAAGGGGTTCACCCAACTCGAAGTTCTTGTCACAGTCAGCTATAGAAAGGTTGTTTGAAGTTCCAAGATGTTTGTTGCTAATATCATCTCCAATCTGATAAATACCATGAGAAGTTGTGTGGCTTGTATCTACATCTTTATTATCATGGGATACACAATCAACTTCATCATTGTTGGCATCTTTGACATTTCCAAAATTCAAATGACTATCTTCCCAATCAATTGGGACATGCCTGACATCACCAAATTGATACCCATGATTAGTCTCACTATTTAGTTCTGGAACTTTACTGCTAATATGAGAGCCAAGATCGTTTGAGGATGGCATGCTAAGCTCTCCATCACTGTAATAATGAGAACAAGGTGAACCAACAGATTCAGCGTTAGATGGAGACAGGTATTCATACTGATCATCGTCCTCATTTTTGAAGTCTGCTCCCATGCTTAACTGTAATTCTGAACTATATTCTCTGACTACTTGTGGTGAACCCGAAATAATTGGAGATTCAGCATCATAAGCATAGTCTGATGATCCAGAAGATTCAGCAACCACAAATTTGCTTTCAGCCTCATCACAATTGTCTGAGTAACCATTACTAACAGCGGAGGTTGAATTAGACATCCTCTGCAAATGGCAGTTACAGATTGTCAGGAAAATAGAGCAAAATTATTGAGAGCAATTGCAATAAAATATATTTTCTATTTTCTCTATAAAGAGAAAAGAAAACAATTCGGCTAATACTGAAACAAATATACCCCTTCCTTCCCTTTTATTTGCTCCCCTTTTGGTTTGTCACTTTGGGAGTTTGGGTTTGCCCCATAGGCCCATAGTAACAATGGCTAGAAGGATCACCACTTTCCTCCCACATCTACTACACTGGCTCCAGCAATTCGTCTCTTAGTCCACAAAAAAAAAAAAAAAAAAAAAAAAAAAAAAAAAATCAATCCATCAAAACCTTTATCCCAAAAAATGGAGCCGGCTACATGAACCAAATATTTATCTCCTTTCGCCATCAATGTTCCCTTACCTCCATTCCCTTTAATCCAGTGTTACATGCTCCTGCAAATCCAATTTCTTCATGTTCTTCTTAGCTTCTTCCATCCAAGTCATCTTCGGTCCTCCTTTCCCTCTTCTAAGCTCCCTCAATCTCAACCCTTTACTTTCCTTACTTGTGCATCTTCCCATGATCCCATCTCCGCATGACATGCCTAAACCAACGCAATTGGTCTTCCTTATCTTATCTACAATGTCCGCGACTCTCTCCTTCTAATATCTTCAATTCTAATTCTATCGTTTAAGGCGTTCCCACACATCCATCTTAACAAACGCATCGCCGCTATTTCCATTTTCCTATAATGATCTTTCCTGAATGCCAAACCTTCTAACCCATGTAGTTTAAAGGTATACTCCGGTCACACAATATTCCAGATGTTGCTCCCCATTTGAGCCATCCTGACTTAATCATGTAGGATTATATCTTGGTCGATTTCTCCAATCTTTTGCAAAATCCACCCTAGGTATCTAAAATATGCAGTCAAGGAAATCTCCTTACCATCCAACATTATTGTATCCCAACTTGACTTCCTTGTATTGCTAAAACTACATTCCATGTACTTGGTCTTGCCCCGACTTAATCTGAACCCGAGATTCTAAGAATTTCCTCCATTGCTCCAATTTGGCATCAACCCCACCTCTAGTTTTATCCATTAACACAATAACAATATCATCTACAAACAACATACACTAAAGTATCTTACCTTGAATCAGCCTTGTTAGTTCATCCTCCATTATTGCAAAGAGGAAAGGACTAATGCCAACTCTTGGTGTTAATAGGGTAATCCTTTGTTACTCCCCCTACAAGTCTTTATATTTGTCTTGACATCTAGACACATATCCTTAATTAGGTCAACACACTTACAAGGAATAACCATCTTAGTAATTACCAAAGCACATCTCTTGACACTTTATTATAAGTCTTTTCTAAGACAATGATAATCATGTGTTATTCCTATGTCCTTGCATTATAATGTTCCAACATTTTCCTTATCAAATGCATAGCCTTCATGGTAGATCGTCCTAGCATAAACATAAATTGGTTTTTGGAGATTCTCATAAATTTCCTCAGTCTCAAGTCTTATCACTCTCTCCCATAATTTCTTGGTGAGACTTATGAGTTTTATACCTCGATAGTCTGAGCAATCTTGAGCATCCCCTTTGCTCTTATAAATTGGTACCAAAGTGCTCAACCAATTAAAAATAAATAAATAAATAAAAAAAGCAAAAAAAAGTAACAAAACCCCAATGGGGAAAACAAAAATGGACAGCGGGCGTAGTAAGACTACTTGTCCTCTATTCTTGTTATACTTCCAAACTTTACAAACATACCTGCCAAACTCTAACCCTTGAAACCTTTTCTACTTCCTGTTCAGCTGAGAGTGAAGAGGTTGACTGTGACATCTCTAGGCTCTTCCGAATGCCTTCAACCATGTCAGTCGGCATTGCTAAAGTGCAAGTGACACTATCAAAATCAGGAACCTACACAAGTTTACAATTACAGCAATACAATCAATTAAACAATATGAACCAAAAAAAAAGACTTTGTACACAAATGATGTTGGAGATATTACATTTAAATCTCTTAACCGTGATTTTTTTGATAGAGAACGTAAACACATGCAAACTTTTCGAGTGTTCCTCCTTTCCACAACATCAGAGGGAGCAAAGAGATCAATTCCGTCTATGCCCAGATTTTTGCACATCTGCAAATTGAAAAGGATCTTAAAAAGCTTAAAACAGGTTGCTAATATTTCTAATATTAGACACCATAACACTCAAATGCTCATGCTGATGGGTTTCAGTTGGTTAATGATTCACATAGCCTAACTAATATAATTCAACAGTAATCCACTAAAGAGGGAACTCATATTTGCAATTTCTTTAACAGATGAATATAAAAATGAAGCCTGGACAGATAAATGACCATATATTCAATGAAGTGCATGAAATAAATTGATGAGCACAAGGATAATAATGCATGAGTGCAGTATCAGACTATCAGTAAAAGGAGGTCCTTGGTGTAATCCCTACCCTTAAAAATGAATCAACATTATAATAGGGCATATATCTCCGAGTGCTCTTATTTGATGCAAGAGTTTTCCATTCATACACTTTATTCTGAGTATCATCCACATGAAGTAATGGTATCCTTTTAGATATCACCTCAGACACTTCAAATCTACAAAAACAAACAGTATGTAAGCAAATTATCCATCAATGGAACATCAAACTGAGGGCCTAAGGCAAAAGCAAAATAGAGCACATGTACATTACTTGTAGTCTTGTACACTCGAGTCTTAAGACAAAAAGTGTTGATACTTCTTTCAAATTGCTGTTAATTATGACAAATAAGAACTAAATCTAATAAACACTAATTATTAAAACAACTTCCAGTAAGAAGATAATCCCCGAAGGTTAAATTTATTTAAAATCTTCAATGCATAACAGAATTTGGCAACTTAATAGAGCATGATCCGTCTGATCAATGAGTAGCTAAGTTCATCCAACCTTGTCAAAATTTCACAAACAAGGCATCTCAAAATTTTCTGTGAGCTAAAAGGTAAGATACACTGCTCTAGCCTTTTATGTGTACAAGAACCCCCCCCCCCCCCCCTCTTTCAGCTTCTCAGTTTTGTTGACACAAAGAAAATGTACGTTGGTTTCCAATTTTCCATGAATTATTAGTAGTGTTAAGAGAGTGTACAACACTACAACAAGTTGGAGGAAACAAAATGTAATAAAATGAGTGCAAAAAAGATCTTACAGTAGCTCCCCATCAGCAAGTAAATCTGAGATGTCTATCTGTTCATCAAATCTTATCTGCAACACTTCTCCAAGCCATATTCTTGCTTGAGTCTGTGGCATAAAGTACAATACAACATTGGAACTTGATTTATAATATGTGATGTTTCTCAAAAGTTTACAGGTCAAATTCAAAATAAACCCCAACACATAAAATGGAAAGGATAATACGGATGCATATAATAAGCCAAAAAACAGAAGGAAAGAGGGGGGGGGGGGGGTCGAAGGGTTTCCTAACTGTTGAATCATATGTTGGTTCTTAAGAAACAATAAGAGCATATTTGACTCCATGTGTTGTACTCCTTCCACCCAGAATTAATAGTCACATCATCAAAGAGTAACATGACAGGCAAATCAGCCACCTTATCAAATAGGACTTCAACAAGTTAGGACCTAAAGGATTTTCTAGTTATTGAATCATATCTTGGTTTTAATAAGAACATGTATGAATGTATGATTATTGATTGTACTCACCTCCACCCAGAATTAGTAGTCACATGGTTCCAACTCTTTTTATGTCCCAATTCACAATTGTGTAATTACTGTGATATCATCAGTTGTCTGACTTGTCTCGCATTTGACTGTTCATTGTACTAATACTTTTCGTAGCAACACATATTATCCACACCTACATATTTTATTTTTTTGGGGGGAATAGATCCACATCTAAAAATTTAAATCACTAGACACATATTTTCAATAAATTCCTCTTTTATTTTTTATTGCAAACAAGGGCCAAGGCCAAACAAAACCAAAGAAACTAAGCTACCATACGAGGTTTAGCTCCCCTGACAGTGTCCTTCCACAGAAGCTCATTTATTTTTATTAGAGGAACATCGAAATAAACCAGCCTCTCTTCAAGAACAACCCCTACATTAGTCAATGCTGTCAATCTATCGGCTACTTTATTCCCTTCAATAAATACTTATTGCCAGTTATTGGACAAAGTTTTAAAAAAGAAAATAAAAATAAAAAAAGGAACTACTTCATAATAAGCCATGATCAAATATTAAAAGGAGAGTTATCATACAACTGTACTTTCTTCAATTTTCAAAACAAAAAAGGTTGAAAAACTTGAACCCGTTTTTCAGACGGAGTAATTACAAGCCAATGACTACTAAACTAAAGTAAAAAAGATTTAAGATTCCCAAATTCTTTTTTTTAGTACAAGAAAAAGCAGTAATATGCTTAAACTGCCAAACACCATCCCTTAATTCACGCCATAATATCTGAAAAAAAAAAGAATTTGGGAATCTTTTTTGCGAAACGACAACCTACTCTAAGTCTAGTGCTGAGGCAGAGTACAGGGGCGTTGCTAATGTGGTTTCTGAGTCGTGTTGGCTTCGAAATCTACTTTTAGAGCTGCATTGTCCGATTAAATAGGCAACATTGGTGTATTGTGACAATGTGAGTGCTATTTATCTTTCTGGCAATCCGGTGCAACATCAACGAACAAAGCACATAGAGATGGACATTTTGTTTGTTCGGGAAAAGGTTGCCCGCGGCGAGGTCCGTGTTCTTCATGTCCCTTCTAAGCACCAAATCGCAGATATTTTTACAAAGGGGCTTCCTCGTGTGCTCTTTGACAATTTCAAGGATAGTCTAAGTGTTCGTCCTCCTCCCGCTTAGACTATGGGGGTGTGTTAAGATATATTAGTTAATAATATATCTTTGACTTTGTATATAATTAGTTTCCTCTGTAGCTTAGAATATTTGATGTATATCTCATAGCATAATTAGTGCCTAGTCTTTAGCTTGTAAATTGTATATATTCTCAGTAATTGGAATGCAATAGGGACGGAATACATTTCCTTCAAAAATATCTAAATTCCTATCCTACTTCTAATCTTCTATTGCTTTACAAAAATTAAGCTTAAAAGTATTTGTCTATTTGACATAGCAACATTGCTAAATACTCCACTAAAATTCTATACGAAAAAAAAAATACAAGGTTGCGATTGTACAGTCACATTAATTCCAATTGTTTGAATTTTGTGATGGTGTTATTATATTGTACTCATAAATTACCAAGATTTTTTCTATTTGGTTTAAGTAAATATGTATATTCTATAATCATTTTTTTTAGTTTGAATACATGGGTATTTTTCATTTCACCTAAAATATCGTTGATTTTCAACCTATTCAAAACTAAAGTTACTTAATTATTCTTACAAAAACAATAGTTTTATAGTTTATTATGAGTATTTATTTTTTTTTGCAAATACAAATCAACAAAATTTAAACTCTCCCCGTAATAATCAGTAAGTAGTTCAACTTTATTTTATTTAAAAAAAAAAAAAAAAAAAAAATTAAATAAAATAAAATTAAAAAAAAAAAAAAAAAAAAACACTACAACATACGAGTATTTGATCCTTAATGCCTCATTTGAATAAAAAAAAAACACGAGTATTTGATATTTAAAATTGATATCACACTAAAAATAGAAATCATTTGAATAAAACCCAAATTAAAAATTAAAAAGAAAAAGAAAAACCTGCAAGTAAGCATCGTCAAGCTCACGGAAGTTAGACTCAGTTGACGACATCCTTTGCGGCGGCTCATCTTCTACAACCACCGTCGACGCCGCCGTAACACCAACCATCTTCCGCCGCCGCAAACTCTTCCCGCCAAAAAATTGAGGAGAGAGAAAGAGGTAGACAGATAGAAAGTGTGGGGCTTTTGCTGGTACTTGGTGTAATTTTGAGATGTGATCCTTAAAGTCTCCACCCTTTTTTCTCTTTTTTTTTATTTAAATTAATAATTGAATTTTTACAAAAATTAGAAAAGACAAATAATTTATTCTGGGAAGATAGATGCCTTAAATTAATGGTGATATCACTCATATAGTGTGATATGCAATTATATTCATTATTATTGTTGTCTGTGAGTTGCTTTTTTGTTTTTGACTAAAAATATAGGTCACTTCCTCTAATTACCCAGTGAGCCCTTTCCCTAAATAATGTTGGGAAATTATCTAATTCCCAAATTACAGCTATTCTTTTTTTAATTCCCACTATACCGTCCATGTCAGCTAAGGAAAACAAACCCTTTTTTTTTTTCTCGGTCCAGCAACAAACCGCTACTTCAGCTACTTGAAGTAGCGGTTTATGGTTTGTTTTGTAAGTTTTTCTTTAAAAACAAAATATATGTAAATCAGTCAAAATTAAACCTTCAAGTACTTGAATAGTTGTATCCCCAAGTTCCATTAACCTTTGATAATCGGTGCAATTTGGCGTGCAATCGGTGCCGACAATTACAAATCCTTTGATATATCCTCGTTTCTGGTTATATTCTCACAGCAATCATTGTCGGCAAACAACTGTAGGAAGGCGTCAATGGTGGCGAAAACGGCTTCCAGCGCGAGGGATTGCTGCGTTGGAAGGCTACTTGAGGAGTGTCGTTCGAATTTTTATTTTTATTTTTTTCTTTTTGGATGATTCTGCTGAATTACTTTACAAGGGAAGGGGAGAAAGTGATTTTATTAAAAAATTAATTAGTAAATACAAACCGCTACTTGAAGTAGCGGTTTGTAATAAGTAAACCGCTACTTGAAGTAGCGGTTTTTAGTAGCACACCGCTACTTGAAGTAGCGGTTTTCTAATAAACCCGTTTTTTAAAAAAATTCCCACTGAACTGGTGACGTGGATGGTATGGTGGAAATTAAAAAAAGAGTAGCTGTAATTTAGGAATTAGATAATTTCCCAACATCATTTAGGCAAAGGACCCTTATTAAGTATGGTTTTTATAATTGAAATTTTGACTTACTTTTCAATTTTTCATATAATCATATTTAAGATGTTTTAAAATGTTAGACACACTTTTAATTTATTTACGTTTTATTTTATTGGAAAACTCATTATACTATCTTAATACCTTACCTCCCCATCGCTATTAACGTGTGTTAGGTTTACGGAATTTTGGTATAGAGTCATGTAATTTAAATCTCATACCTTACTTTATAGGTATGAATTTTGAAAACCTTGAGAGAAAGATGAGCTTTATTAATGCTAGACATCCAAGGACTATCTATATTTCAAAATCAATGCCCTATTTTGAGTGGCACATTTCACAACTATATATACTCTGTATATAATTATTAATAAGTATAACTGATAACAAGTTGGTGTTTAAAAATTTTACATGATGGCTCTGTCTAACAAGTTAGTACATGATTGTTTCATCTTTAATGAGTACGAAATATAAAGCACCAATATTGGTCAAAATATTGCATCTTTAATACGAAATATAAATCACAATATGTACGGATTAGTGAAAGGGTTTGTTCTCTTCAGTTAAGTTCAGTTCATTTGAACTCTAATCAGTTCAGTTCAGCTCTAATAAGTTCAGTTCAGTTTATCTTTATGTCTAATGAAATTGCTAATGATAATTAAAGCCAAATTTCATACTTTTTAGCATATATTACAATAATAATAATAATAATAATAATAATAATAATAATAATAAAGTAGATCACAACAGGCCCAAAGTAGATGTGTGAATAATTTCAATCAAAAGAATTATATACCTGTTTCGGGGTTTTCTGATGTCCTGCGGGAGAGTTACAATTCCGAGACTGGAACCGGACGTCTGTACCTGCAAAATAACGGAGACTCCTGAGAGCTCCGCCTCCAACGGTCAAGTTAGTACCTGATTAAGGAGTAATCAATACAGAAAGTAAAGTAATGAGATCTCTCTAGGTGAGAGTGCTTAGTGTTGGTAATCTGCGTCGTTAGCGAGATTAGCCGGTTGTTAATAAGTCTGTTCTTCTCTGCTTGATCTCTTAATTATTCGGTTGTTTTTTTGTTTCCTGATTAATGAGGATTAATCGAGTATTTATAGCCTTGGGAAGCGTGCAACTCTCTAGGTTTAAGGTAAACCTAGGGCTGATCGGGCCTCTAGACTGAAATGGGCCTTGATGGCCGGTTGTCCCACTTGGCATGGGTGGACACGTGGCGTGTCTTAAGTGGTCCGTGGAGGACGTATCTGTGACTGACACGTGGCAAGCTCCTGTTGGCCTTCGTGAAGGACACGTGGCGGAACCTGGTTGGTCCACTTGTCAGACGGTGATTGGTGGATAAAAATCCCCTAATCATTTGCCCCTCACAGGTGGCACGCGACTGGTCACGTGTCGCCTGTGACAGGTGTCGCACGGTGACAGGCGACGGCCCGTTACAGGTGTCACCTTGCAGACGGCCGAGAGATTTTCCCGCCCAAATTTGAATTTGGAAGCGACCCTTCGCCTTCTCATTTTGCCTATAAAAGGAAGTGCTGACTTCGGTCATTTTCACATTTGAGAACTTTTGCGAGAACATTCGGACCCCTGAACTTGCTCTGACATTTTCGGACTTTTTCTGCCTACCGCCTGTTCTGACAAGCCGACTGACCCGAACTTCCAGGACTTCATCAACCGTCACCCGTTCAGGTAACTCAGTTCTCTTACTCTTAATTTTCTTTTTATTTTTTGAAATGGCACCATGGAAGCACACGACACGCCCTAAGTTAGTGATCAGCCGGTCACCGGGGACGGCTGAATCTAGGACTAGGAGTGCCGCCTGCCCTTTTCTGGACCCATCTTTGCCCTTTATACAAAGTCCGACTGAATCTGTGTCTATGCAGAACGTGATGGCCAGAACAAAAAAGACTGCTATGATATCAAACTCATACGGCTCCTCCCAAAGGGTGCTCCTTAGCGAAACATCTGACCAGGCGCCAGATGTAGAACGAGGCGACTGTCAAGCTGACAGTGCTGAGAGAGGGACCAAGGTGTTCCCTTCTCATCTAACCGTGGACATGTCTAATTTTCCTTCTGCTCCTTCTAAGGGAGAGGAGGCGGGCCCCTCTAGGAGAGGGGAGGAGTCGTCCTCTTCGGACTCGTCAGGGGACGAGTCCGAATCCAGCTCTTCTGACCATAGTTCTTCTGGCTCAGAAGAAAAACATAGCCGCCTACAAGAGGCGAGAAGTTCTCATGCAGTGGAGAAGGGGGATAATTGGGCAGAGCCGTCCGCCTCTTACAGAGAGGAAAACGCCCCCTACTACTGCAGGGTGCCCCGGGGCCGGATTGCAACCATGCGAGACAACGTGGCGAGCTTTATTGCTAACCACAAAATGGGCCCGGAGTATTTACTGTTTGTGCCGGATCCAGAAGATACTGTCGTCTGGCCGGCTGGTACCAGCTATGGTGACGGCTGCTTTGGCTGCTATGTGGCGGCCATCAAAGCTGGACTGCGCTTCCCATTACATCCGGCTGTTCAGCGGATTTTAGATGGGTATGATCTGGGGTTATGGCAGTTAGCCCCCAACTCTTGGGTAAACGTACTCGGCTATGTGGCCGGGTGCGAACTGAACGGGGTGGAGCCAAGTTTTGAGGCTTTCGCCCACATGAACTATCTCAGCCGGACCCCCAAGTCGGGAGGTACCGGCTGGTATCAATTGACAAGCCATAGGGGTTACCTCATGACGAGAGGTAAGGCAAACAAATGGAAGGATTGGCGGAACACCTTCCTTATTATCGAGAGTTCAGACACGGAGCTGAACAAACGTTTTAATAAGTGGAACAGGGATCCACCTCTTCTCGCAGGCGGCCGCAGCATGCCGCCTGTTCCCCCAAAGGCTAAAAAAGAGATCCTAGACAAAGGACTCTTCAAAGTAGAGACTAGGGTGAACTCTACTTCAGGGGTACGAGAGCAAGTACCCCTAAATTGCGTCCCGAGCTTCAAGTGGCTCTATGACGAGTACTTCTTGGCCGCCTGTGGCCTCGGCAGTCGGTGCTCTAGAGGTAGCCGGCCTGACGAATACTCTGTTTTTTCACGCCTTGTTTACTTGGAATTTTTACTAACTTTGCTGTTTATTTCTTTCAGCCGACGCCATGAGTAAAATAACAGCATCTAAGACTGCGGCGGCCATGCTGCGGGTCTCACTAATGAAGCAGTCGTATGTCGACTCCCCCAGCAAGGAGGCACCCTTGGTAAGCTTTGAAAACTCCTCCTTTTAGTTGTATTATGCATATACTAACTCTTTTTGTTTTCAGTCTGGCACTCCAAGGGCTTCTTCCTCGCAACAGCCGGACCCCAAGGCCCGGAGGACGACTGTTGCAAGCTCTCCTGGGTCTTCCAGGAAAACAGTGGCGGCTGAGAAGCAGCCGGCCACTTCTTCAAAAACCCAGGCGGGGCCGCCTAGATGTATGGACACTTGCTTGTAAAAACTCACCCTTGCTTCCTTCTTGATTAGGTCTAACTTGTTTTTTCCTTTCGCTTAATGCAGCCGGCCCCCAGGGACTTGACTTGGTTGAGGTAGCCAAGTCAATGGTTAAAATAGTTCCTCCATCTGACAGGGAGGCGGTCAAGGGTGCCGGCACCCTTGACCTCGATGGAATTTCGGGGATCCTAGCTGAGGTATACTTAGCACCTTTTTGAGCTTTTGAGTTCCAGGACGCCTGTTAACTCTTTTGATTGGAAACTGACGCCTGTTTTTCTTTGTACTTAGGCCCTGCTCCGAGTCAACAGCCTTCGCAAGCCGATTGATCGGAAAAACAAAGAGGTAAAGGCCGCAAAGGCTATGGCCGCCTCCAGCTGTGATAAGGCAATGTTTCAAATTGCCCAAAATGAAGTACTGACCCTTGATCTTCTTTATTATCAGGCGCAGGCGACCGCCGCTGTTCGGGCTCAGCTAGAGACGGCCCAAAAGAAGGTTGACGAGCTGGAGGGGACCGTCACCAAACTTAAAACCGAGCTGAAACCCCTTCGCCAAAAAATGCACTCTTACGAAGCCATGGAGAAATCTTTGGCTAACGTAAAAGAACGCCTGGTGAACCAGGAGAAGAGTCTTACCCAAGAGCTCTCGGACAAGGCCGAGCAAGAGAAACAAGAGCTCGTCCGGGAGATGGTGGAAGACTCCGCCCAAATCCAACGCATGACCTGGGAACGACTGTTCCCCAGTGCCGACTTTGCCTCATGGGAAAGAACGTACCGCCAGTGTTCGGAAATATATAATCAACAGATCCTGGCGGCTGCTGAAGAAGAGGCGATGGACGTTGCG